CTGCGCTGCATTTAGCCCCGTCCTCTCTCCCTGGCAGGGTGGGGGTGCCGGGGTGGGGGAGGGGCGCCCTCCACCCCACCCTCCCCAGGGCCAGCACCCGCCTGCAGCACCTCTGCTCTCCTCCATTGTGACGGGTCTGAGCCCCTCCCTGCGTGGGCGACAGCGCGCTCTCTCTCCAAGAAGGGAGAACGCCTTGACAGCGCCTTTGTTCCCGGAATAAAAGAAAACCGAGCTACAAAGGGAAACCTCAGGTAGCTTTTAACCGGGCTCAGCTGCCTGGGGCAGAGTGTGTTTAAGCTGGAGGCAGTTGTCACAGGAGCAGAAGGGGGAGCCACCCAGTTCCCTCCCACCCCTCCTGCCCTCTGTTTGGGGAGGGGAGCCCCATGATTGCATTTGCTCAAGGAACAGTCTCTTCCGAATAGTGGCAAAGGAGGAAATCAATGAACATTGATAGAGAAATGTACAGCAGCCGTCTGCAGAGTGTGCGTGTGCGTGTGTGTGTGTGTGTGTGTGTGTGTGTGTGCATGCGTGCATGGTAGGCACGGCCTCGCAGAAGCGTGCTGCCTGGACCAACCGCTCAGGGCCCCGGCCTGGAGGGTGGGGGCTGGGAGTCAATCCCTGGCACGTGCCTGTGGAGGGGGCGCTGGTGGCTGGGGGAGGGTGGCAGCCGAGTCTCTAACTCTGGAGTTAAGAGAGAGATTAATATATTCAACCCGCTCCAGGGTAATTGAGGGAACAATTGCAGTGTTTTTCTAAAGCCCATAAAACTGCCTCATTTGCAAGGAGGAGCTGACCTGCCTCCAGTCCTCCGTATTTGATGGAGCGCAGGAAAGGAGGAGGAGGGGCGACGTTGGGGTCCTAGGCTAAGGGCCTGGGACATCAGCCTGGGAGGGGGCTGGCAGTCCTGGTCTAACCTGTTCTCAGCATCCCCACCTCCCACCACTTTGTAGGTAGCAGCCCAAGCATTGACTTCCAGATCCTCTGTTTCTCCACCTGTAAAATGGGCGGGTGACATTCCCCTCCATCAGGAGAGTGGGCGGAGCAGGAGAAGGGGCGGCTTCACAGGACAGGGGAAGCCAGCCGACCTGAGGGTCTGGCACTGAGGTGAAGGGGCATGGACAAAGAGAGCCCAGCTCCCCCAGCCAGGCTGCTCCTCCCTCCCGTATACCCCCCAAGATGAAACGGGCAGTAAAGAGTAAAGTTAATGAAATCCACATTGCGTGCCTTTCCCGCTTGAACCACTCCAGTCTCCAGGGCAATAGAAACAGCATACGCGATAGCCAGCAATAAAAGGCGTAATGAATTTAAAAGCAGGGCGAGGCGGGGGAGTGAGGACTTAGAGCCTGGGCCCAAGGGCAGGAGGATGCCTGGGGCTGGGAGAGTGTGGCCCAGAGCTCCAGCCAGAACCCGGACCAGAGACACACAGGGAGGGGGAGGGGCAGAGTTAGAGGGATGCAGAGACAGGGGTTAGGGACGGGGCAGAGGGGACGCTGGGCAAGCAACTAACAGCAGCTCCTCCGCCCACTGCTCTCCTTCCCCCCACTTCTCCTTAATGAATCCCCCAGCCTGTTGGAGCCAAATCCACAGTCGGAACCCACAGGCGTGGAGCCAGGTGCTCAGCATTTGGTGATTGCTTTATTAGCTTTTTCTTCTCTTTTTTTCCCCTCCAGGGCAAGAAAAAAAAAAGGTGTTTTAAACGGAAGGAATAAAAAAAAAAAAACCTTGAAAGCATCATGTAAAAGGCTCCTGGGAAACGGAACAATTTCCATGAAACAAAACTGCGATTGTTGGAAGAGGTAAGTGCTGGGGGAGGAGGCCCACCATGCTCCTCCCCGCCTCCTCCTCCCCACCCCTCCTCCTCCGCCTGGAACCCAGAGCTCTGAGCCAAGCCGGAGGGGGCTCCAGCCCCTCTAGTGAGGGAGCCCCCGGCATGGCTCCCAGAGCTGTAAGCAAGGAATTTTTAAATTTATGTTCCCAGAAATTTCATCCCTGGGAATTTCCAGCCCAAAGTTTCCCTCTTAAACAGCTCTGCCCGTGAGAGGTCGTGTTAAATCTCCAGGGGTCTCTTGGAGAGGGGGTGAGGTATCTGCAGGGCTGGAGGGTCATGGCCCCTGAGGATCCGCAGGCTCTAGGCCCAGAGCTGTTGTGGCCTCCCCTGCCATCCCCAATGCCCCCAAGAGGCATCAGTTGCCCTTAAAAGAGTCCAGCCTTTCGTCCAGACTTTGGGCCGCACCTTCCTGCTTTCCTCACCCTCGAGGACCCACTCTGCCCAACACTGGACAGGCCGCCCTCATTCTGGTCTGCTAAACTCCCCCTTACCCTGGGGGAGAAGGGGCTTGGGGTGCTGGGGAGGTGTAGCCATATGGTCACAAACCTGCCAAGAGGCGACAGGAGGCAGCGTCAGGGCAGGAGGAAAGGAAGCACCCCGTGTCTGGAGAAGGGCGCTGCCCATGGCCGATTACCCTCCACGCAGGAAACTCCCTCTGCAGCCCTCGCCTGCACACTCCCAGGGTCCCCATTCATGGGCCAGGGGCCCAGGGAGTGACTCTATCCTGCAAGCTGCAACTGTACGTGCTGGAAATATTCATGGGGACAGTCCCTTCCACATGCCTCTCCACACGCACCCAGAGGAGGAAGCTGGAGGCCTGGAGAAGGGAAGGTGTCCACTGTCTACAAAAACATTAGCTCAGGGGATTTGACTGTTCCAGTCCCTGGGTCTCCAGGACTCAGGAAATGCCGTGAGCAGCACTGGCACGGCCATTTAGGGCTGCGTCATGGTGGCCATGCCACGAAGCAAGGTGATTCAGATTCAAAGTCGGCCTGGCAGTTGGCTCTGAGCCCTGCCTCCTCTCGCTCCTCATTCTTGACAGTCTTGATCAGTACGCTCCCAACCCACCCCAACCCCTGCGGCCCCACTGCCCCCCGCCACCATCGTCAGTTCTAGTTACCAAAAAAGAGACACGCCCTCCACATATTGGAGAACAACTTGTGAGCCTGCAGTGAAATTCTAAACTGGATAGATTCAGTTGTCGAAATGGCGGATGCAGACAGGACCGAGAATAACTTAGAAGGCAGGAAATCGATGCTGGGGAGGCTTCCTGGAGGAAGCGGCCTTGAACCAGACATTTGTGTCTGGAACCTGGAAATCCATTCCTGGCCCTGAGCTGAATATTGCTCACTGCGAGCCTTGTCTTGCTGCTGTCCTTCCAGCTGTGTCTTGGAGGCTCCAAGTGGCAGCACGAGAAAGGTGCCCGCCTCCCTTAGGCCACACGGGAGGACCGAGCTCCCCGTGGGAAGAACGGGAAGAAGCAGCGCAGTGTGTCCTTGGCAGGGCCCCTCCATTGTCTGCTCCCTGCGCTTCCACCCTGTTGTCAGGGCTGTGACAGCTGACCCACCTGGAGGGAAGTGATTTTCCTCTCCCTTGAAAGTCATTTTCTTGTCTTGCTAGAAGCAGACATCTGACACTTTAAGAGGGAACATGGCGGGGAGATGATGGCTTTAAATAACAGAAATTAGAGCTGCCGAGGACATCTCGTCAATCCCCCTCCCCCCAGCAGCCCTGCCCCTCCTCACCCCCATTCAGAACTGCAGCCTGAAGAGCACTGTCCACACGGCCTGTGGCTCCGGCAGCCAGGACATGCTGGGCCTTGGAGAGCAGGGGACAGCTTCTCCTGAGCCCCGAGCCTCCTGCGTGCCCAGGCCTGTGATAAACCATGGGGCAGAGAGGCCAGGGCCCAGGCTCTGCAGTCAGGGAGCTTGCAGTCCGGGGGAACAGAATGTCACCTAGGAACCTAGGCGACATCTATCTCATTTTACAAGCTCAGCACCCAGCACAGAGCTGGGCGTGCAGAAGGTGGTCAGAAGTACCTGTTGATCAACTGACAAATGAATGGATGAACAGAGGCCACAGTGGGCCATGCTAACAGGCCGAGTGACCTGGGCAAGAGAAGCCGGTCCCTGGGTCCCTGGTCAGCCTTTGGTTCTGCTGGCACATACTGCCTCATTGTTCAGCCCGAAGCACAGCTCGGATGCTGTCTCTCCCACACAAACCCCTCCAGCACTTCCCCATCGCTCCTGAATTGGACACCTACCCCCTCTTCTGCCACATGCCCTTGACTTTCTCCATCCATGGTCCCTCTCCCAGCCCAACTGAGTCCACCTTGCACCCCTGGGCTCCACATCAATGCCAGACCAATGCACTGCGGCAGAGAGGTGCTGCAGGAGGGCCAGCCACTTTGATCATAAACCCCTGCTTCTAGCCTCGCCGGTCCTCCTGCTGCCGGCCAAACCTTCTCTTCCCCACAGCCAGCTTGTTGTGATCCCTTCTCCCGGAACACCCTCCCAGAGTCCAGGGCCGCCAACCCCGCCTAGCATGGGGTTGATGGATGGATGCATGGATGAGTAAATGAAGGCGTGCATGAAAGACTCATCTCAGATGACACCTCTTCCAAGAAGCCATTCCTAGGCACACTCCCTCACCAAAGCTCTCCTTCCAGCAGTGCCTTACAGAACCATGGGTGATGTCCATGTTGTACTCAACTGTCTTCAAGCCACGTGATACCCTGGGCTTAGGGACTGATCTAGCTTCACATTCTACACACTATTATGCACTTAGGTCCCCAGGAAATGCTGTTGACATTAAATGGAATCAAGCATCCTTGGGCCTTAGTTTCTCCACCCATAACACGGGCTACTACTTGCTCTGTCAGTGTCTTCCTGTGCAGGCTGTGGGGCCTGCTAGCCATGCCGCCTCGCTGCAGGACACAGCCACACCGGAGGACCCTCCCATAGCTCGGATAAGGCCCCGCCCCTGGGCCTGAGACTGCCACAGTCCTAGCGCAGGATGAGCCCCTCCTGGTCATGGTGGGAGCTAGATGGGCTTGACGGTGGGCACATAGAGGAGACTTCTGTCTCCTGGTCACATGGGGGACCCCAGAACCTGATCTGGGACCCAGGGAGCACCCACCTACAGCCTGGGGAGCTGGGGCTCTGGGAATGATGACATCAGTTCTGGCTGGCCAGCCCCGGGAGGGCAGTCAGAGGCAGGAGGCCGAGGGGCCCGGTGCACGTGGAAAGCCACGCTATAGGCCAGGCGCCCGCAGTGACAGGCAGCGGCATCCGCGCTGGCCTGGAGCAGAGCCGCGTTGCCACAGTAGCGGTACAGGTCCTCGTGCTCTCGAGCCTCGAGCTTCGTGCGGGATTGGTCTGGCCGTGGAAGGATGGGGAAGATGGCCTCGCCCACCCGCCGGGCCGTCCATGCCGAGGCTCCGTCCAGCCTCAGCGCCTCCACCCGCAGCTGAGTGTCGTGCCGCCCGTCGTTCTTGCAGAACCCTGGGTAAGAGAACATGGGACACAGAGATGGCCTCTGGGGTCTCCCTGTCTCTGCCCGGGGGAGAGGAGGACAGGCAGGGCCCTGGGGACACCTGGGCTGCCTGGCCTTTGAGTTGAAGCCAGGCAGGCTTGGCTAGGATTTCCCTGATGAGTGACCCCTGTCAGGCCCCCACCCACGGCTCTCGCCCTTTACCAAGGCCCAATCCAAGCCTGCAGCCGGGCCAGGTGGGGGATGGTGGGGAGGGGCTGAGGAGGTGAGGGCTCTCGGCCTGTGGCATGGTCCGGGGTCCTGCCACCACCCTAGACCAGGGAAGAGTTCAATCTGCCCTGATTTCTGCCCACCCGAGGCCTAGGACTTGGTTTCCCCATTCCCTCATGTCCTCCTCCGCCAGGCAGCCTGCCTGGATGGCCTTGCAGTCTAGGCACGGGTCTTCTGCTCCCTTCAGCTCACTAACTACTATCTGCTTGGGATCCCTGCCTCTCCAGCTGGTATGGAAGCCCGGAAGGCAGGGCCAGGCCTCCTTGCCTCCGTCCACCCCCATACCCACAATCAGGGCCGGGCACTCAGTGTAACGTCACTCAGTGGAACAGCCACTGCCCAGGACTGGCCCGAACCTGCTGTGTGCTCAGCGCTTCTACATCCGCAAAGCCCTTTCCTATCTGCCTTCCATTTCCTCCTCACCCTACCTGATGTGACCAGTAGGCGGGGGCTCACAGAAGGCCACCATTTGCCCAAGGTCACATAGGCGGAGCTTTGGGGTGCAGTTTGGAGCTCTGACCCTGCCCCTCCCAGTTCCCCTGAGGCTCCCTGGGGTCCCTGACCGGGCTGGGGCAGGAGTTCCAAGGCCCTTCTCTCCTCCTCCCCCACCCCTACTTCATACCTTTGGGCAAAGTAAAGATAAACTTGTTCCTGGTGAGGGCGAGGCTCTGGCCAGGATCCTGCTGCTGGATGACACCAGTGACAGCAGAGCAGGCAGGGAGGGGGTCCCCATCATTCACCCGCAGCTGCACCCCAGACCCAGAGCCTGCCTGCAGAAGGTTCTCAGCTGACAGCTTCAGGGCGTATCTGCCCCCGTCGTTAAACCCCACACGCAAGACCTCGAACTGCAGCTCCAGTGTCTTCTCCTCCACCTTCAGCCTCTGGCTCGTCAGGGATGCAGGGGCCCAGGGCTCGGGCCCGCTGAAGGCCATGGCCACTGTCAGGGACTGACCTCCAGGCTGAGCACTGCCCATTCCCGCCCACAGTCCCTGCCTGGGCCCAGTCCGAAAGCCTGCAGGCTGGGCGCTCCGGGCCGCTCCCCACCCCTCTCTGTTTGAGAGAAACCAGGTAACAAGCCAGGAAGCTGGGCCTGACCCAGGAACAAAGGCAGCCATTGGTCCCTCCCTTTTAGCATTTATTCCTTCTACAAATATTTATTGAGCACCTACTGTGTGGCAGATACTATTTTAGCCATCTGGAATACAGCAGTGAACCAAGCAAAAGTCCCTGCCCTCTGAAGGTTATCATCCAGTGGGGGAGGCGAGTGGAGACAGACAAACATAAACACTAAATATTGAAAATAAGTAGATTATAATGTATGCTAGAAGACGGTAAGCTCTATGGAAAAAATTTGAACAGGTCAGGGATGAAGATTGTGGATGAAGATGTGGAGCACATAGGTATGTGGTATTCAGAACCTCCTGTTGCTGGGAGAGCCTGTCTCCACGTGCCTGTGCCTTCCCAAGGGTTCTTGACTTGGGCATGGGAGCTTCTCAGGGGAAGGGAAATGGTATTGTTCCCTGGGAGCATGCTCGTAGTTTATCTTCTTAATCAAGACTCACAATATGGGACGCAGCTTCACTTTGCAGAGAGCTCAGAGCCTCTCACCAAAGAGTTGTCCACATGCAAGCCATTCTCCCTGAGCCTGGGTCTTGTTATGACCCAGTGGGAGATGGGAGATTCTGGACACACCTCAGTAATACCTGTCTCTATCACCATCACTGTCACTAACACCACCACCACCACCATCGCCACCACAACCATCACTAACACCACCACCACCATCATCACCACTACCCCCATCACCACCACCATCACTAATACCACCACCACCACCACCACCACCATCATCACCACCACCCCCATCACCACCACCATCACTAACACCACCACCACCATCATCACCACTACCCCCATCACCACCACCATCACTAATACCACCACCACCACCACCACCATCACTAACACCACCACCATCACCACCATCCCCATCATCACCACCATCACTAATACCACCACCACCACCACAACCATCACCACCACCCCCATCACCACCACCATCAGTAATACCACCACCATCACTAATACCACCACCACCACCACCAC